TGTTGTTGTTGTCCTCTTCATAGAGAGCAATTCCAAAACTATTTGAAAAGTTTTGATAGAAATAATCAAGGTCTGCTGTATCTGATTCTTGTTAACTTATGATAGGCATTGTTAAAAGATAACAAGCTAAGTAAAGATTTTAGACTTAGATATATTTTCTAAAGAGAGAATATAGTTGTAAATAATTAAATTTATAAGTGTTGTAAATAGATACAAGGGTTGTAGTTTAGAGGTATCACTAAAATAACACAAAAGTGTAACAAAAATGAATAGGGTCACTAATATGATTTGGGTACTGAATACAGATAGGATTTGCAGTACAAATTACTGTGTAATATTAGTAAGAGCTAAATATGAAAGTAATTAATTGTGTGAATAGGTTTTTATTAATAGGTTGGTTACAAAATATTGAGTAAATTAATAAGATATAGATTGGAAAATGATTATATAATTATACAAAAACTATATAAGAGAAAAAGGGAACAGAATAAGGACAAAAAATAAAAAAAAAGAAGTTTTGCAGGAGTATAAATATTGAATTTAGTTGTAGTTTAGTTAATATTGGATCAAAAATCTTTGTTTAGAACTTGTTTTAACTAGGTAAATGTATACTACAATTTTACTTAAAAGTATAGAACAGGTTAAGATAGTAGAAATATGAGATGGTTAAAAATTGTTTACTAGAGACCAGAGACCGTTAGTATAGTTTTCTTGATGAGTTTGAAGTATAAAAGCTTGATATTTGTAAAGTATATGTAAAATAGTAAGCTAACAAGTTTACTTAGAAGCCCAAGATAGATTGTTTTAGTAAAATAAATAGTTATAAGTGTTTTTTGAAAAATGAATTTTTTAGTTAATTTTTGTATAATAGATTTGCAGAATGAGTTTTTTTACTTGTTCTCACTCAAGGAATTCTTTTTTATAGAAGTTTTTGAAATTATTAATCAACTTACTAACAACAAAGCATGTAGACCATTAGGCATCTGCTATGAGATGCTCAAACATGCTAGAACAACATTTCTTGATACAATTATAGCTCTTTTTAACTACTGTCTTACATCTAGTCAAATTCCAAATCAATAAAAAGAAGAAATAATTTTTTTTATTTCTAAAAAATCTATTTTTAATAGCAATTTAACTAACAACAAACCTATTAGTCTACTTGAACATGTCAAAAAACTTACACAAAACTTCTTACCAATCAGCTAATAATAATTATACATTATTATATTGTATAACCTAAAAAAAATTAAATCTGTCTAGAACAATCTTTTTGTATAATTTGTTTAATTACATGTTTACTTATTATAAAATTCTATCATCTTTTAACTATATAGCTTTATCTGATAACAGCATAGCTATCTCTATACATATACTTAACAATGTTATTCAAAAAGCTTTTTATAACTCAAAACAACTCTGGCTTTTATCTCAGGATATGAGTAAAGCCTATGATTCTGTAGATCTTATACTCTTTACCAAATCTTTAACATCTTACAAATGCCATTTAATCTTATTAATATTCTTACTAACTTGCTTACTAATCAACACAATCAGATTATTACAAATTTAGGCCTCACTAATTCCTACAATATCAAAAATGGCATTAATCAAGAAGAAACCATTATTCTACTATTCTGGAGAATTTACTATAATTTTCTCATAACCAAAATAGTTTTAGACTTTTTAGGATACATTTTGGCTACAAAGTAAAATACTAGTTTGCTTCAACTAAAGATTTAACAACTTCAAACCTTTGTATTTGTATTAGCATATATGAATGATACACTTTGGATAGCCAAATTCAAAGAAAAATTATAATCAATTATTGCTATAGCTACCTTTTTCTATTATATAGCTAATATTTAAATTAATTTAACTAAATTAATTTTTACCTCAAATATACCATCTACAATGCCCATTTACTTTTTTAACTCATCACTTATACTAATTCTTGCCAACCAACTATTCAAATTTCTAGGATGTTAGTTTACTCTTAATAATTTATACACTAAACAAAGCCAACTAATTTATAATGAAACAATCCAACTTATCAACATTACAGGTATCAAAAAAAATTACAGACAAACAAGCCATATATATTACAAATACTATAATTATTCCTACTATTGAATACAAACTATATAATATTATTCTTAAACATTCTACCTGTGACAAACTTTTATTCAAATATCTTACTATGATTAAACACAAAGCTAAACTCTTTTATATTAGCCCTAACAACACTATGCTGAACCCTTATATATACAATATATATAATATTTCAGACATTTAACTACAACATCATATATCTTGCTTTTAACAAAGAATTAACAACTCAGAGATTCATGACATTTTTACTAAAATTAGATTACAGCAACTTCAAAATAACCTCTGGTCTGCTACCAATATTCTTCAGCATAACCAACTGCTTATTAATAGACCCAACAAACTTACACTTAGTTTTAAAATCATACAACTCCTACAACATTTTGGCATTTCAATTTTAGCAAACTCTAATGTTTTGTGGCCTAACACTGTTCACAATAGCTACCAATTATTAAAACCAATATTTAGTCAACATTCTGAATATTATACTTTTAGAAAACAACTTTACAAAAACAATATATTCTATCTAGAACAATTATATACTGCAAAGAATAGCACACTACTTCAATGATACCACCTTTTATCAAGACTTTATCATCTAATAAAAGGAAAGCAACCTTTTTGGTTTACCTATCTAAAAGACACAATCCTATCTTATAAAACACATTGCTTAATCCTTCCTTATTTTTAACCCCTTGGAGTTAATGCTTTTGTATACAACACTTTACCAATTAAGAAAAAACTCAAACCTTGGCTACTTATCTATAATAATAATAATGATAAGATCATTATTAACAAAATTCACAAATGTTTTCCAAACACAAATCAGTTTTTTATATCATATTGGAATACTAATATTGATTTGGAACACAATTACTACTATTCTCTTTCAGAATTGAACTGTACACTATGCACTAATACTACTTTAACTCAAACAGAATTAATCAAATATTTACAATTAACATTTTAGTAACTATTTGTACTAGCTTTTTAGGAAAAAAAACCTCTAAACTCAAATTTAATACTAATTACCTAAATCTTATTTATTTAATAGCAATTAAACATCCTTTACAAATTTCTCATAACTATTCTATTATCAATATATCATATTCAACTATTATAGAAATCTTTATATCTAATAATTGTTCAAACAAACTTGAAAAAAATTTCTAAAACAATTTATCTAATAAGAAATTTATTTTTTATACAGATGGATTAGTAACTGATATTGGAACTGAACAAGGCTTAATGGGCATTGGATGGGTCCAAGTTAACAATAACAACCAAGTGCTTCACAAAATTTTAACTAAAATCCACTACTGGCTATCAGTTTATAAGGCAGAGCTCTTTTTTATCTTATCAGCAATCTCAACTGTACCTCACAATGCAATACTTTAAATCTATACTGACTTACAATCAGTTATCTCAAAGTTTTACAAACTCTTTATTCAACTTAACAATCCTAACTAACTTTTTAAATTTAATATATAGCCTCTATGCCACACTTTTCTTAATATTATTAAATCCTTTAATTTAAACATTAACTTCTACAAAGTTCAGGCTTACATAGACAATACTTTTAATAATATGTCTGATTCTTTAGCAAAACAACACAATTTTTTTTTTGATACTAATTTTCCAATATACAAATATTTACAATTCTTTTCATATTTTACAATGAGAACAAAATCCTGTTGAGTTTCCTATCAAACATTTTATTAAAAATATCTGCAAAGCTTATATATTAGCAATATAGTCATCACAAAAAAGAAACAATAAATAGGCTCATATTAATCATTACATAAACTGAAAATCTACATGGTTATACCTTAATCATGACCAAAAACCTTCATTAAATTTTACTAGCTTTAAGCTTAATTAATTAAAAGCCTTTAAATTTAAAACTCTACTAAATGAACTATCAATACACTTTTTTCTTTACAATATATATCTAGCTATTTTATAAATTCCAACTGCTTTCAATGCAATCTTTCTGACTCCCACTTACATTAGCTAACATGCTCTAACTTTTCTCTTATTACAAACATTAATAACTTATCAGTTCAGCACATTCTATCTAAAGCAGATCTTAATTTATCTACTAGTTAGTTATATGAACTTATTTGTAAAATTCAAAACTATCTCTTATTTAACTAAATACTATTTCAAGCAAACTCTTTCTATCTAGACCTTATTTTTAAAGGCCTTATACCCAAAGCTCTAATCAAAACAATTTATAATTACAACATATCTACTAAAATAGCTTTACAAACTATTATTCAAACACTCTTTGATATTAATGATCAAATTTATAACCAAATATGGAAACCTTATTATATTGATTTCTCCAACTGAAAAAAAGATAATAACATAAATTTTTTTAAACCTTTAACAATCACAATACTTCACAACAAATACAACAAATTAGATATCACAAAAGATTACATACAAACTATACATACTTATGTCTATATGAAATAGCAGATCAATTACACTTACATCCTAATATCTGTCTACTGATTGAACAGGCTATTAGAAAAATTAATTATAGTTAACATTCTGAATTAATTATAGCACATCTTATAATCATATTCTAATATTACAATTCTAAGTAGGACTTGACTACCATAGTTGGTTTAGATCACAAATAAAGTTGTCTGAGCTTTAATTTTTGTATGTAATTTTTATTTTATATTTTACAATCTTAGTATATCTTTAATATATAGTATATTAATATATACAACTAAAATTACTAATAAAGATATAAGCAAGGCCTCATCTTAATACCAAAATAAAATAATAATATTACATTTTATTATAAATGTTCTCAAAGTTAAATATTAGAAAATAAATTATAAAAAAAATAAGAAAAACAAAGAAATAAATTATCTATGATAAAATATTCATATAATAGGTTATTAAGAATAATAATTAGAAACTATCAAATTGCTGATATTAAGTTAGCTCACAAAATCTTACATATTTATTCTAATCAGTTTGAAATAGATTTAATCACTAAAGAATTTATTCAAAAAAATGTTATACAAACACTACAAAGCATATATTTACAAATCAAAAGAAACTTGTTCTAATATAACTTAAAAACAAATGAATTATTGATAGGCAGTTTTTATTTGACAAGCATATTTTAAAGACTTTGATTAGTTAAAATCTTATATAAACTACTTGTTGAAAATAATAATGAAGTTATTCTTTATGATTCAGATGCAAAAATTAAATATCTAGTATTTATAACATTATTTTTTTATATCTTAATTAATAATTAAAAAATTTGTATTGACTTAACATATAAATATATATTAATAATATAATATAGTAAAACTTCTATACATATATGTATTTATAATAAAGTTTACAATATATACTTAAAAAATAATTAGAAAAAACATATTGATTAGTTATTTGAACTAAAATTTAAGTAAATATTTATAAAAAGCATATATTTATAAAGTAATTTATAGAAGTTTCACTATATTTCTACTTTTATTTAGTAATATTTTATTTAAACAATTAAATATTTTTGAATAGAAATAGAATACTAGTTAATATTTTTATAATTAATTTAATTAATATTAATTTATTTATAAATTGATAAAACAAATGCTCTTAAATTTAAGTTATATAGTGTTTTAATGCACTATGATAGTGCAGGCTTTGCAATAGCCTATTTGTTTGTTGATAATAGGTGTAAAGTTAGTAATTAACAAATACAGATTCTTAAAGAATTTTTTAATATTAAAGAAGATTAAGAAATATTAAGTTTATTCTTAGTGATAAAGATTTTAGTCAGATATCTGTAGCACAATTAGTTTGGACAACAGGCAAAGTTCAATTATGTCTTTAGCATACAAAAAGAACAATTAAAAAATATTTAGCAGATAATTCTAAGACAGTAGTTAATTATAATATAGAAAAAATAATTAGAATATTTTGTTATATAGATTTTGCATTTTGTTTGCCAGATTTATTAGATTCTAATAAGTCAGAATAAAAAAAAACAAAATTTTATTTTTTGTTCTAAGTTTAGATCTTTGATTTTAAGGTTTTTTGAAACTCATTTTTACTTATATCTATTAATTTCTAAAAATATAAGATATTTTTAATAAGCAAAGAAATATGAATTAATTCAGTTAAAGGAATATATCAACTTTATTATAAAAATAAATTAAAGCATTTTGGATCTATTTTTGAAATAGTTGGTACAAATTTGAAATGTGACAATTATGAGTATGAGCTTTAAATAAATATAAAATCAATATATTAAAAACAACAATACTAATTGAATCTTATTGGAAGATTCTAAAACATGATTTTATTTTGAAAAGTTTTTGACCTAGATTGGATTTTTTAATTTATATTATTCTTAAATATCTTATTTCTCATCAACTATTATAATATTAAAGATATTAAATAGGCTAAAAATATTTATCTTGAAAAAAATGTTTTAAAAATAAATGAAAATTATTAGCAAATTGTAAAACAATAAATTCAAATAATTATTAGATTGATGTTTTTTGTTGGTTTTGTAATTGTTATAGTGTTTTATTAAGTTACTTTTTTATTTTTTATTTTTTTTTAAATATTAAGATGAGTACTTGCGACCTAGGATTTTATTGATAGTACATTCAGCTAATGGTTGCATTACAACTACAGGAGGCAACCATAGAAAGAGTGTACAACTAGCCACTCATACAACTTTAGTTATTGTCTAATTTAAGTAGTTCACCTGAAGATTCTACACTAGCTGCCATACCTGGAATCTACTTGTAAGTTCCCTATTTAACCACTCTGTTCCCATATCCACCCACCTACCTACATCTACCAAGATGCTCTGGTCGATACCAGTGCAAATATGTCATGATTACTAAGTCTTTAAAGCAGTTCACTTATATGGAGAACCTTTGACTTTGTACTAAACCTTCTAGAATCTTCTGTATCCTATTCTTACAGCTGACCTGGTATTGCTATAGCTGAGACTAACACTAGCAGTCAGGATGTATCATTTAACTGTTATGCCCTTGTAGAGTTTACTCCAATCCCAGTACTAAGTTCACAATATATCTCTACTACTTTGGTATTCAATTTAAGTTTCATCAAGCTTTCAAACCAGATAGTTCGAAAAGGCAGATCATAACCATACACCTTTGGTTTATATGTTTGCTGACATGTAACCTTTTTCTCCAGAATCCAGAAATTTCAGTAGCCTAATTGGTTTCATTTGGCCTCTTTTCAAAGGCTGGCTCTTTGCCTAGTTTCACAAGTTCTAGCTCCATTTCATAAGTCTAGTTTTTACAGTAGCACTGTCAAAAGTTTGAGTTACCTTTCTACTTGGGTTTTTCAAGTAGGCTTCCATCTTCCTATCTGGTTCCCATGATTTACATAGCCTAAGAACTTATCTTGGGTTCACACTGCCCAGTACCAGTTTGTGTTATTTTTAAAATTTTTTAAAAAATATTTATTAAATTATTATATTTAATAATGCAAATTACTATATTTAGCAATTATTAACTATTATTTTAATAAATTAATAGTTAACTTAAAATTTTTTAAGAACTTATAAAATTACAAAATTATATATAATTTATTATACCAAACAACTTTACTTAAAACTTGAATTTTGGTTTACTTAATAAAAAATTAACTTTTATTATAGATAAAATATTTAATTAAATTTTAAAAATTGCTATTTTCAGTTTTGTATAATATTATATAATTTTGTATAACTTTAATTATCTTAAAAAATACTGCATAGAATTTTATAATCTTTTTTTTTTATTTAAAAGCTTTAGATTTAATAAGTTTATTATATAATTTTTAGTTTAATATCTTTTTTAGTTAACTTGTTATAAATTTTTATAATAATATGCTTAGTTACTATAACAGGTACTATAATATGAATATTATATAAGTAATTATCCAAATTTTTACTGTCAATGAAATTTGAACATCCAACCTACTACTTGAAAGATTGACAACCTGATTACTTCACTAGGTTACCACACCTCTACATTTCTATTACTATTAACTTCAATTGTTTGAAATAAAATATAATTTCTATTATGTACTTACTTATCTTCTTAATTATATCTATATGTTCAACTTATTTAAGAGCTTATAGAAATTACTGTTTTATTAACAAAATACATTTAAAAAATAGAGAAGAAGAACAGAAGCCTACTTGGAAGACCCAAGTAGAGAGATAACTCGAACTTTTGATGATGCTACTATAAAGACTAAACTTATAAAACAAAGCTAAAACTTGTAAAACCAGACAAATATGCTGGTCTTTGAGAAGAGACTAGATGAATCAACCAGGCTACTGGAATTTCTGAGTTCTGGAGGAAAAGTATACATGTTGGCAAACATGTAAACCAGAGGTGTATAGTTTCGATCTACCTTTTCAGGCTATCTAAAATGGCAGCTTGGTAAAACTTGAATTAAATATCAAAGTAGTAAAGATATGTTGTGAAGTTAGTACTAAAGTTGAGATAAACTCTATAAGGGCATAGTGGTTTAATGATATGCCCTGACTGCTAGTGTTGGTCTTGATTATAGCGATACTGGGTCAGCTGTAAGAATGGAATACAGAAGATTTTAAAAGGTTTAGTACAAGATCAAAGGTTTCAAAGAACTGCTTTAAAAACTTAGTGGCTATGGCATATTTTTACTAGCATTGGCCAGAGTTATTGGTAGACAGAGGTAGATAAGTGGATATAGAAACAAAGTGGTTAAATAAAGAACCTACAAGTAGGTTTTAGGTATGGCAGCTAGTATAGAACCTTCAGGTAGACTACTTAAATTAGACAATAACTAAAGTTGTACAAGTGCTAGTTGTACACTCTTTTTATGGTTGCCTCTTGTGGTTGTAATACAATTATTAGCTAAATATACTATTAATAAAATCTTGAATCACAAGTACTTACTTAATATTTAAAAAAAATTTAAAAAATTTAAAAAATAGAATTAGTTAACAAACTTTTTTTACAAATCTATTGTATAAAAATTAATTAAAAAAATAATTTATCTAAAAATACTTATAACTATTTATTTTATTAAAATAATATATTTTGGCATTTTAAGTAAATTTGTTTAGCTTAATATTTTATATATATTTCACAAATATTATATTTTTAGGTTTTAAACTTACTAAGAGAACTCTACTAATAGCTATTGATTCACAATTTTAACAATTTGATTTTCTTATAGTTTTTATTATTATACTTTGTTTTATATATTTAAGTAAAATTGTAATATATATTTGCCTAATTAAAGCAAGTTCTAAACAAAGAATTTTGATTTAAAATTAGTTAAACTATAGCTAAATTTATCTTTTATTTTCTTATAACCTTTTTTTTATTTTTTATTTTTACCTTATCTTTTTTTTTTCTTTACATATTTTTGTTTAATTATATAAATATTTTTAATTTACAGTCAAACTTCTTTATAGTCACATCCTTAAAATACAGAAATTGATAATTATATAAAAGTATATTAATTATAAAGATATCTTTATATAGTTATAACACAATTAAAAAAAACAAAAATAAATAATTAGTAATTATATAGAGAATTTATTAAATAAAATTTTTTTTAAAAAAACTTTTTCAATTGATTGATAATAGTTACTCTATAGAAAAGTCAAATTTTATTAACTAAATTGATCTTTTCATATTAAGTAAAGTTGTTCATAATAGTATTCTATATATATTATAAAATTTTCATATTTTTAAAAAATATAAAATTTTATAATATATGTAAATTGCTCTTTTGAACAATTTTACTTAATATAAAAAAATTAATTTTACTTAATAAAATTGACTTTTCTATAGAACAACTGTTATCAATCAATCAAAAAAAATTTTTAAAAAAAATTTATTTAATAAAAAATAATAAAAAAAAATTTTTTTTAAGATACATTTATTGAAACAAATATTTTAAATATTTGTAATTATAATACGACTATATAAAATTCAATTTATATAGATGGTTAACAAAACATTGTAATAGTAACTATAATGCAATTGTTCTTATATAGAAGTAAAAATAATATAAAAAAGATTGGTAAATTTATAAATATAACTATAGTGAATTTGTAACTATATAAAAGATAATTATAG